AGAGGGTAGGGTACTAATCATAGTTTAAAAAATACATAATAATCATTGCAGTTGATGGGGCCTGATTTCGTCGTTGAGGTGTCTGAAAGTGGTACACAATGTCGTGTCAAGTGAATTGACTTTGTGTTCTGTGTGCGAAATGTGACAGCCAATTTGACACATCCTTGCCCTGACTGGGAATCAAACCCTGATCCTTTTGCTTGCGAAGTGAGTACTTCAAACACAGAGATATACAGCACAAAGGCTAAGACTACATTCCCCTGGATGAGTTTGTTTTTTTCCGCACGCATTTTTACTGTATAGAATGTAAACAAAAGTACAAATTTCACGTGATTTTTCCATACAATAAATATTTCGGTAGAGGCAACTGCATTCTTTTGGCAGTACGGGTGGAATCCTTTAACTAAGCTACTCAAAGCCCTCGAGATTTGGAAGAAAGCCCGAACCACTTTCACGCCTGAGTCAGACGGGGGGGAATAATATACACAGACAGATATACTCTATGTGCACACAGGTGCCATTCAGTGCTAAGAGATGTGTTGTTTGGAACTCCCAGGGAGGTTTACTTCCGGAATCAAAAATTCAGAAAGTTTAGCTGCTGCTAAAATCGCTCACAAAGTTCCAAAGTATCAACATTTTAAATTTAGAAAAAAACACAAACGTCACATTTTAATACCGTCACGTGGTCCGGAGTGAAGTTCTCCAAATATGTTGTATCAAAAAATAGCTTTTTAAGATCTCTCTCAAATATTTCATTATTTCTCCGTGTTTTTTGTGCAAGTTTCTTTGATGGAAGCGAACCTCTGTACAATGAAAACATGAACGTTTCCATTTTTACCCCTCTGGAGTACTGGGTGTTGAATGATTTGAAGGAGGAAAGACATATTGTGGAACCGATTGAAAGCAGAGTGGGTGAGAGGCATGAAACATGGTATCAAGGAAAGTTCAGGGTGGATTCAGACACCAATGTTTCTCAGTATCTCTGTAAGGTGAATTTTGCTTCAATGCAGATAAGTTGTTGACAGCGTCAGGGGTGAGAAGTCATTGACAGCAGTAGAGCAGGAGAGCCTCTGTCCTGTCAGCACTGAACTGAAAAAAGATAGCGATCAATCAATATTTGATGGCATACAGACAATCGGTCAGAGCAGCAGCGGTCCTGGAGTCGATGCTGTCGGGGGAGTAGGGTGCCCTCCAGATTAAATGGAAGTGAAACCCATGTTTGTGGATGATGTCAGCAAGGGAGAAAATTGGTGAAAAGCAGAAGTCTCAGAATGCGGCCCTGGTTATTGACGCATGTGACTGGGCGGAGACAGAAGCAGAAAAAAATTACAGCAAAAACAAAACAATTACTTCTCTAGCGCGACTTTCACGTCAGGAGGACTTCCCAAGCGGCTGGAGAGTACGGGGTCAGGAAACGCGCATGGGGAAGGATGTGGAAGGCGTGAAGGAAGTCAGAGAGGTGTGAAGACGGCTGAAAGCACGATCGAAGAGGAAGGTCTTGAGACCAGCGTTGAAGAAGGCAACGAATCAAGCGAGGCGAAGGGATTGTTGGATGGACTTGCAGAATGTGGGGGCAGAGAGTCTGGAAACCCAGCCACCGTGGTTAGGGCGGGTTGGGCGTTTGACGTGGAGCAGGCCGGAGCCCGCTGAACGGATGGAGCTGATGATATCGGCGAACAGACGGTCAAGGGGATGGAGCTGGGTATAAAGGAAAGGTTTGGGGAATGCGTTCAGTTAGCAGGTGTAAGCTTTATGGGTGATATGGTCGTGGTGATAGAGGAGGGGTTTCAGCTTCAAAGGGGAAAGGATTGATGAGTAGTATTCGGAGTCCGTGCCTGTGTGTGTTTGGGGGAAGGGGGCAGCGAATTCGGGAGGGGGTAGTAGGGAGGGGGTGCATGATGGAAGGGCAGTGGCAGCTAAGTAGATTCCAGCATTTCTGCAGTGGGAACCGGATTAAAGTATATGCGAGGCATGGCGGAAAACCTGGAGGAGTCGTTTCGCGGTAGACAACAGGAGCCTGGGATTGCCTTTCCCCTCCAGGATTAACCGGGGGCAGAAGGGTGATTTGGCTGAGGCGGGAGCGGAGCGGTAATTGATGATGAGGTCCAGCCAGATGTGGCGGTGGACCGTTAGGCCCGATTTGAGCCAAGTGCGCCCAGCAGCTTGCACCTCACACTTTAGCGAGCCGAGGTGGCTGGTGAAGCATTGTGTGGATCAGGAATAGGAAGCAGTTCGCGAGGTGAGGGGGGGCAATGATGCAGAGTGTGGTGGAGAGGGTGCTGCGGAGGAGAGTAAAAGCAGAGGATTGGTTGGGGCTGGAGGAGAGCTAGAGGGGCAGGATTTCATGAGACTCCAGGGCAGCAGAGAGGGATGGCGGGGAGCTCTTCTTCATCGGGCTGTAGAACATGGTGGACGGTTTGGAAGCAGTGCGGAGAGGGACGTAAGATTTGTGGGATATAAAATGTTGGTAAGTGTTGTCCATGCCGGTGATGGTCACATCCGGGACTCTGAGGCCCCGGGTTATCACCAGGTCGAGCCGATGACTGTGAAAGTATGCAACATTGTGGATGTGTTCGGAGAAGTTTGGAGAGGAGTGGAGAGAGGAGAAGTTTGAGGAGGTGGAACAATAGGCGTGAAATGAAGATTGAAGTCGCCTAGGATGATAAGGCGGTCGGAGCCGAGGCAGCGGGAAGCTGGAATAGTGAAAATGTTAGAGATGAAGGAAGTGGAGGATTTTCGGAGGCGGTAAATTAGGAGAATTTTTAACGAGAGATGGTAGGGATGGCAGAGTAATTTGAGCAAAAGATGGGATTGAGCCAGCGGAGTTGGGGCACAGGCCAAGTAATGCCCTGGAGTTGAGGGTCAGACCACCGCCACGGCGGTTGTGGAGTGGGGCATGGTTGTAGTTATAGCCCAGATGTGTGGCCTGAGTGAGGGGGAAGGTGTCATTTAGCGTGATCCAGGTTTCCCTGAGTGCCATGTTATCAACGTTCTGATCATTGATGAGAAACAGTTAGATGAACCATAGTGGACCCCTGACCACTATATGCTCGTGAAAGTCATTAATAACATTCTGAGCATTTGCAAGTAGGGCCCTCTGTGCCATTTTTATTCTCCTCGACCGCTCTGCTAAATTTGACACGGTTGAACATTTTATTCTCCAACACCGCCTCTCCTCTCAATTCAATCTTCTCGGACCTTCCCTCGCCTGCCTCAAATCCTACTTCTCCCACGGTCTCGACTTTGTCACTGCTAACGGCTTCACCTATAGCCAGAGAAACATGACCTGTGGCGTCCCTCAGGGCTCCGTCTCTCTCCTTCACAATATCTATATACTTCCCCTTGGTTGACCACTCTAACCTCATCCACCTTCTCTATTCTCACCTCAAACATCACGGTTCTGCCGTTGAATTGTTCACATCGTACCTCTCACACCTTCTCCACTTCATCTCCACAAATGGTTTCTCCTCCTGTCCCCACACCATCTAGTGCGTCATTTCTCAGGGCTCGGTTATTCATACCCTCCTCTTGAACATCGATGTGCTCCCTCTTGGTAGCATCATCCGGAGACGTCGAGTCAACTTCCACATGTGTGCAGGTGAAACCGTAGTCTACCTCTCTGCCTGCAGCCTCGATTGCAGGACCACTGCTGTCTTCACAGTTTTCCTGTCAAACACTAAGCTCTGGATGAGAGCTAACTCCGTGCAGTTGAATGTCAACAAGATAGAGTCCCTCTAGCCTGGCTCCTGTCAGCGCCCCCAAATCTCGTGTGATGACAACTTATTCCTGCATTGGTGCATTCTATATCTCAGGAGCCAACAGTGTACCTCAGCATCATGGTCGATCAACCGTCTTTCAAACCACATCCATTCTGTGACGCGCTCCTCACTTTCTAAGTCCTCCTTGGCCTTGCTCACTCCTACGTCTGCGAACTCCTGCTCCTACCAACCTGAACGCTGCTTCATGTCCGCCGACTCACCAGCCAAACTGTTGGCGGTCGACCCTGCAGCCATTCTACTCCCAACCTCTGTAACTCTATCGCACAAGTCCCTCCACCTCGTCCTTTTCCTTGTCTCACTGAAAACTCGTCTCAAGACCCACCCAGTTTGACCGACCTGTTGTGATCCCCTTTCCTATCTGGAGTTATTCATATACGTTAACCTAGAGTCGAAGGAACTGATTTAATTAATGTAGTTTCAAACGATTACGTCGGCTACAATAATGTGAAGACGTCATGTTTATTATTGGTGCAGTTTTTGAAGATATCTTTCATAAAAATTTCACGTTGGCGCTAACAATGTTCTCCATAGCAAACAAAGCTTGACAAGAATTCTGCTGATTATCGCCTGACGAAGATGTTTTGCTATGACACCAACAAAACCAATTCTGCAGTTGTGTGATAACAGCTTCTAAGTCATGGTAATGGACAGATTTTGCATTCTCATCTGGACTGATCGAAAGATATCTATGGTTGAACTATAATTTGTTCAGTCTACGACACAGCATATCCGTCATCTTCCTTTCAACCGCCACAAACACCTCTCCCATCCCTTTATCCCCCTACCCCACCCCATACCGTGCCTGACGGAGCCCTGCATTTCTGTTCAGAAACAGTTATTTCCAACGCCGTGGGACTCCATCCCGCCCTCAAAGGTATGATATAAATGTAATGTAGCTGCTGATGTTCTGTTTCCATTTTGTTATTATTGTTTGCTTGAGGATCTTGGAGTAAATGACTTTCAAAGAAAATAATTGCATTTGGCTTAAAATGTATTTCAACTATCAACCGCAGTGAATGAAAAGAGGAACCAACCGTACAATTAAAAAGTATAAAGCTCATAAACTTATCAACATGAAATCGATAATGATCTTATCAGGTAAAGTGAAGGTCAAGGCTTTCTCAGATACAGGCAATGTTAGGTTATTCATTGACTTGAATACCATAACTCTCAATGCTGAATTCGTCACTTATAAAATTTAGAAAATATATTACTCCTGGTTTGCTGACTTACTGGAAACAGACAAAGCTCAGTAGAAATCAAAGGTTGCAGTCAATAAATGACGTACGTGATTTCCAACTGACAAATAACAGGTGAGGAAATAAATGGAACAGAACGTGTAGGAGAAAATCAGCAGAATTACCGTCGAAAGGAAAGAAAAAATAAAAGATTCCCCATCAACTAAGACGGGAGGTGAGTGTGTTTGTATTGTTTTTTTCTGTCTAGTTCAGTCAAGCAACGATAACTTTAGGGGACACTGTGTGTTTAGAATTCAGAATGACAATCTAGGAACAAGATTAACTCAAAATTATCGTGCGAAAAAGTGGACTTCATAGATCGGGGCATAATACAAAGCTGGGAAATTATGATAAAACATGATAAAACACTGGATAGGCATTAGCTATAGTATTTGGTTCATTTCTGGGAACAACACTTTCGGAAGAGTGGCAACTCATTGGCAAGATTGTAAAGCAGATTTGCCAGGATGAGTCAAGGAATGTATTTGTCTCCTTATTTAAGGAAGGATGTACTTGCCTTGGAGAAGGTGCAGCGCAGGTTAGTACGAGGGAAGAAAGGGAATGAGTTACGTGGATAGGCTGACCAATTTAGGCCTATATTCTTTGGAGTATAGAATAATAATAGGGATCTTATAGTTGACCTGGTTGGAGAAATAAAACCAGGCATCTTAAACTTAAAATCAGCGGCAGCCCTTTAGTATTGAGTTGAGGAAAAATGTGTTCACTCAAAGGTTGATGAATGTATAGAACTCAGTACCCCAAAGGGCTGTTGACGCTCAGTCATTAAACATGTTTAAGACTGAGATAGACAAATTTCTTATTGCACAATTTGATTAAGGGACATGGGGAAAGGGCAGTGTTAGTTTATTAGCAGGAGTTCGATGAGTAGATAAGCCATGATTGAATGGTGGGGCAGGCTAGAAGGGCCGAATGGCCTACTCCTGCTCCTACATGTTATGTTATATCATGTTTATGTTATGAGAGATTTCAGTTATCACGAGAGGCTAGAAAAGCAAGGATTATTCTCCTCGGAGCAGAGAAGGTTAAGAGGAGTCAGAATAGATGTTTCAAAAGTGATGAGAGAATTCATTAGTTTGAAAAGGGGGAAACCATTTCCACTGTCACGTGGATCGGTGACGCGGGCGCACTCTTTGAAAATAGTTGTTCAAATAAACAGAGAGGAGTGTCAGGAGGTTTTTTTTTCATGCAGCTAGTTGTTGAGATATTGAAGGCATTGCCTGAAAGAGTGATAGAAGGAAGCTGGTCGAGAACAAAATTTCAGTGGGAAGTACAACATCTTTACCGTAGACAGTACAATCCTGGCAGGGTAGCGTCTCAGAACGCTTAGAAGTGTGGAGCCTGACGCCGCGCAGGGTGCAGGGGGCAGTAAGTATGATCTAAGCGCAAACTTTTCTGCTAGAACTTGAAACGAGGGAGAGAAGGATCAAGGCGGAGTGATTCAGGGAGAGTGTTCTTGTGTTTTGGGCCGTAGTGGCTGAAAGCACGACCTGCGCTAGTGGGGTAGGGCGTGTGAGGGATGAGAAGGACGCTGGTACAAGTATAGCGGAGGCTCCGGGTGGTGGGCTAGGAAGGGAGGTGTTCGGAGAATTAGGAGGTGCCAGGGAGTGAATGGATTTGAAAACGATAATGAGGAATTTAAAGTCGATCCTTTGGGTGATGGGGAGACAGACAGTATTGCGGTGTGTTCATCTCGAAGCTCAATTCTCCAAGGTGACATGGCTGGCAGCAGAATGTCGAAATCTAATCAGACCTCTGTGGCAGTGGGTTGCATAATGCCTTAAATATCATGTAGAGAGCCTGAAATATCTTTGACTGAAAGTGCATCACAGATTTTTTTGTCAGATGAATGGTCCGTTTCGCGGGATTTCGATAGGACACCAAGTAAACAGTTATCTACGGTGGAAGTGGAGACAGTCAGTCGAGGACAACGATTACAGAGAGTCACCACAGGAACGAAACGAAAGTTGAGGTTAAATGTTTTCACACAGGGAGTTCATGGGTTGTGGAAAGCCCGAGAAAGCAATTGTTCAAAGCCGACTCAATAGTTGGTTTTAAAATGGGAAGTAGAAAGGTATATGAAAGTTAAATATTTTGATTACTATGGAAATACGCCAAAACACTGAGGTTAAATTACAGTTTGTATAAACACCAGGTGCAAACTCGACAGTCTCCTTCTTTTCTGTACAGTTCTATGAATCTAAGGGAGTTGTTCTTCACCTCCACCAATTGTCCTTGATAGTTTTCTTCTTAAAAAACGTCCAAATGCAAAACTCTGCGAATGTGTAATTGGCGAAGGCAGGGTCAAAAGGTATTGGTAAGCCAGTGAAGCTCGGTACGTTTGGGTTATGAAGCCTGATGCGGGACACGATATGGGCTACAGTGTTGTGGATGATCTGCAACTGTGGAGGGAGGAGTCGGAAGGGCTTCAAGCAGGGAGTTTGCGAAGTCGAGCCTAGAAGTGATAAGGGTCTCTGGGCCCTGCGGTGAGACACAGTGGCAGAGCCGGACAATGTTACGGGAGTGCGGAAAGGTGCAGCGGGTGCTGGCACAGATGTGGTTACTGGTGGAGATATCTCTGCCAGTGAGGCCACTGGGTACTGGGGGGACATCCCGGGGAAAGAAGTTAGTGGCCAGTAAGTGGTTAGCGGGATTGATGCGAAGTTTTATGCGACCATTGGTTCGATCATTTCAAAATCCCCCACTGAAATAATGGCAAAAACTCACTGCATAACATGATTTCGCCAGATAGTTTAAACATTCAGGCTAATGATGGTTTTGATTAGACTATCCCGGCAACAAAAAGGAAACGGGGCAGCCTATTATGCACAATAGTGCAGCCACAAACAGTCGTGGTTTGAGTAACCAAATTATTAATATTATTATTATGATTATTATTAATAATATTTTTGAATGGATTATTACCCTTGGAGAAGCGATCTAGCACTCGACTAATTACCGAGTTCCTACTCCCTGCTAAGTAAGCAGAGGCTTATAGAGTAAGGAAACCTACTCAAAATTTCACCATACTGGCAATATAACCAAGGTGCTCTTGCTTGCGAGGCAAGTGGTCCAACCACAAAGCTACAGGACTCCATGTTTTCAGTTTATCTGGTGCTCTCAGTTTACTACAGTTCTCTCCTGCGGAGAGAAATTACATACAAATCTAAGGGCTGTCTGAGATAGGCAAAAATGTGCATTCTCACGAGATAATTCAGCATCGTGTCAGAGAAGGAAGGCAAAAGATAAAGTATACCAGTGAGACGTGTTGTCAGCCGATTCGAGTAGGAAGTGATTGAGCGGATATGACTGATAATGTCTCTGTTTTCTCTTTGTGCGAAAAGGAGCTGAGAGAAGACCAGGCCCGTACAGAAGACAGCCATGACACTGATAATTGTGGCTGCGGGTTTATTTCTTCTTTCCTGTCCGGAGTTCGGTGTTGAGGGGTCCAGCCTGAAAACGACATCAGAAAATGGACTGTACGAATGTAAACTAATTCATTCCATCCCGGTACTTGAGGTCGTTCCCGGCGGAGGATGGGACAACCTCAGGAACATCGATATGGGCCGAATAATGGACATCAGCTACCATCAGTGCAAAACTACAGAGGATGGGGCTTACCTCATCGCAGATGAGATCTTCGTGATCCCCAAAAACACAGTGGTTTGGATATCCACTCGGAGATCATCGAAAACTGGAAGTACTATAAAAGCACCACCGCATCATCCATTAACGCAGAAGTATCCTTCTTCTCCTTCCTCAATGGCAAGTTCTCCAAAAATACCCAGAGGGTCAGAATTCATGAAATGAATGACAAGACTTTCACGGCTCGGACTCAGGTCAGGAATTTCGTGTACAAAGTGAAGTCCTCAGTCTCTTTCAAACTGGATTCCAGGTTCAAGCAGCATCTGTTGGCGATTGGAAGCCACATGGAGAACAACCGCAGCAGTGCTGCCAGGTCGGTAGTATTCCTTACGAGGCAACAACTACCCAGTAATCATAAACACAATAATCCATATATATTTTTTATACTGCCTTATCACTTTGAACCGTCTAAAAGCGCTTCACAGAATATACTGTTAAGTGTAGTGACTGTGTATTTTGTATGCGGCAGCCAAATGTACGAAACTTTGTCCCACAAATAGTCAAAGATTGACTGAATAAACTTTAGTTAGTTAACCGATTATAACTCCCAGAAAGCAAACAGCAAATAATGAACAAATCATCGGTTTCCAAATCAACTTCATTAAAACCTTTGCCTCCGCTCCCTACACGAACCGCTCCAGTTCAGTTTTTACCCTGCCCACTAGCACAGAGCTAAGTCTCGTCAAGGAGACAACAAATTAACCCTCTCTCTGTTCCAGAACTCTCTCTCCCTCCCTGTTGTCCTCGGCCTGTCCTCCGCGTTCAACACAGTGGATCACTCTATCTTCCTCCATAATCTCCCCTCCCTCATCCAACTGAGTGGCACACCAATCGTAAGCTTCATGTCCTACTTGACTAACCACCAACAATATATCTCGACAAGTGGTTTCTCGTCCACCCATGCAATGCAATCCAATCAACAAGCATGTGGTTAAATTCCACATGTATACAAGTGACACCCAAATGTAATTCTCATCCAGCTGCGACTTCAAGTCCACTGATGTCCTGACAGCTTGTTTGACAGATATCAAGTTCATGACGGTCGCAAACTTCCTGCCGCTGAACATCGACATGATGGAAGCCATACACCTTGGATCGCAATTGCGTTTTCTTTCCTTCACTTCCGAACTCCTCAACCTCCCAGGCTGTCCCTCGGATTCACCAAGCCGATGTGCAATGTACGCTTCAGGATCGATCCACAGATTTCCATTTTCTCCCACATCTGCTCCTTGATTTGGACCTTGAATTTTCCTTCCCCCAATATTGCCTGCTTCTACCCGCTTCTCTCACCCACAGCAGTCAAAACCTACGACCACAATTTTGTCACTTCCGGACTGGCCTTTTCAAATTCCCTTCTCCACATTCTCACCAAAGACAGAATACAATTAATTCAGAATTCCGCCGCCTGGATACTATCCTGCACAAAGCTGTATACCCCCGGTCACACCAATGCTTGCCAGGCTGCACTGTCTCCCAATTACCAAACGTTTCGACTTGAAGATCCTATCACACCATTTCAAATCCCTTCATGCCCTTTAACGCCCAAACTATCCGATTTGCTTAACTCCAATCCAGCATCTGATGCCTCCGTCCTACTATTTGTCTCTCGTCCCCCTCCACTTGACCACCGGTGGACATGCCTTCAGGCATTAGGCGCAAACATTCTGCAATGCTCTCCCTCAATCTTCTTTACATTTTCAAATCCCACTTAAGTTGCTTCTTTATGGATCGTGCTTACAAGGAGCTCTCCCTTTCCCCCGGCATCAGATTTGGAATCCACCAATATCTAACGCTCAGGGATTCTACCCCGAATTAAAGGCGCTATACCAATGCAAGTTATTGCTGTTGTTATTGTAACAAGAGTGTTGCTGCTTTCTGCTTATCAAACAAATGCGTGTGGATTAAGATAGAGATATTCAGATTTTGCCCTGCCTTGGAATTCAACCGAGTTCCAGTCACCAGAACCAATCTGTCTTCGGAGTCCATGTTAAGAGTAATTAATATCCTTGCAACTAACTCGAATAATCCGGTTGTAATCATCTCGCTTTCTCCGCGGGAGATCAGTGTTGTGTCAATTATTTGCTATCAGTTCATCTTCGAGTATCTCCTTGTCATTGTGACTAAATCTCCTTTGTTTATACCCGAACATATATTTTATTTATCAAACTTCTACATGCCCTTCCGTGTTCTGCTGATGAGCCAGGCTGGTCCTGCTTTCATTAGTAGTATCCTAAAATACGCTAAAACAATCTGGCTCCAGAACTGGACTAGAGAACGCAAAGAGGGCTGGATTCCAACGTTCAAGTGCAAGGCATGTCAGCCTGTTCCTCCCCCAAACCAACCCTCAACCCACAACCCTCCCCCACCCAATCCCCCCCCCCCCCCACTTCCACCGCCACCAACATGCAGGAGGCTTGAAATCCGTGAATATATCGAAAATATCAGGCATACATAGGCATCATACTGTTTCACCCATCACGCAAAATTTATAGACTGAAATTATATTTCATCACAGAACGAGGCCATTCAGCCTATCATAATTGTGCTGGATCTATTCAGACGTTGCCCACTATTTTCCATAACCTGCAATGGTTATACTATCTAATCAAGAAAAAATTAACATTTTTCTTATTCCACATGCGTCTGTTTACTTATCTTTAAGCGACTTCGGGTAAATTAATCAATTACCAATCACTTTCCATCTATAATCCCCTACCCACCAACCAAATTTCTGGACAGTCTATCCACAACTGTTTGGTGGACAAGTGTGTTCGCTTGGTTTCCAAGTTTGGCTTACAAAATACACGGTCGCTAAACTTTAGTGAAAATGCTATGATGCGCATGGAGATGTTGCATTGACTTAGTAAGGCGCTATGTCAAATGCAAGGATTATCATCGTGATATGCTATATTTTACAGGTACGAATCAGAAATGCTAATTGTAAACTATGGCACGCACGTCCTCACCCAACTGAACGCTGGTGCTAACTTGCTGCAGGAAGATGAGGTTAAACAGTCATTTCTGTCGGAGACCACAAAGTCCGCAGTCACCACCGCCATCGCCTCTTCGTTTTTTAAAACGTTGAAATCTCAGACATCCTCCACGGTCACAGAAGAATTCATGAAGAAATATGCGACTTACAGAACCCACTCACGGATAGAGAGCAATGGCGGAACCCCATACTATCCCGGGATGACCCTGCAGATGTGGCAGGATTCCATTGAGAACCATCTGATTGCCATCGACAGATCCGGGCTGCCCCTGCACGTCTTAATCAACCAACACACCCTGCCAGACCTGCCGTCGCCCACCGTCGCCAGGATTTCCCAAGCCGTGGAGAAGGCCATCAACATGTACTACATGGTCAACACTCACCCCGGCTGTGTCGACATGAACTCCCCCAACTTCGATTATCAGGCCAATCTTGACGATCACTCATGTGAGAGCCCGAACACGAACTTCACATTCGGTGGGGTGTACCAGGAGTGCGTGGCTGTGTTTGGGGCCAATGCCCAGTCTATGTGCCCTGCCCTGGAACAGAAAAACCCGCTGACCGGTGGATTGAGCTGCCCGCCGCAGTACACTGCCGTGCAACTCAGCACCCAATTCAGAGATCAGGGTTACTATCAGAATGAGTGTCACAGGAAATGCCACGTTTTCTGTAAGAAGAAGTGCCACAACGTTTACCACGTGAGGAGAGTGCGCTTCACCACCTATTGGTGTGCAGCCACTGGGTCAGTCCCCTATACCTCCGGGCTCCTGTTTGGTGGTCTCTACACCACCAAAAGCAAGAACCCGCTCACCAACTTTCCATCCTGCCCCCTCACTTTCTACGCGCTCTCACTTTTCGACAATATGAAGGTGTGTGTGAGCAACGACTTCGAGCTGGGCTTCCGTTCCTCGGTGCCTTTCGGGGGCTTTATCAGCTGTGAAAGCGGGAATCCGCTGGCGGACACCGCCGCAAGCAACCCCTCACTGCAGAGCTCTGTGCCGACCAACCCGAGCGGTTACAGCAAGAGCTGCCCTCGAGGCTTCAGCCAACACGTGGCCGACATCATCCAGTCCTGCCAGGTCCTCTACTGTGTCAAATCCGGTGCTTTTACTGGGGGGGAGCTTCTCCCTATCCGCCTGCCCCCATTTTCCACCCAGCCCCTCCAGGCCGTGGGGCTGCCCAGCACTGAAAACTACACCATGCAGTGGATGGACGAGACCCAAGTCCCGACCCAGGGTCAGGGAGCAGGGTACACACGCACAGCCGGTTCAGAGAGACATGAATGAAAGGAGCAGTGATATTTCCGTGAAGCAGTGGCGGTGGGCATCGCGGTTGCCATTGCGGTCGCTATTCTGATTTTGATCGGCTTTGTAATTTACTGAATCAAACATTCCTGAGCACTGGGCTGATCACACTCCAGCGCAAGCTACTGGACAACAGAGGATGGGAGACTCATTCCCAGCTACCAGCCTGCCGGATCCCGAAATAATGATGATAATAGTAATAATAATAATCATGAAATTAATAATAATAATGCTTGCATGCAACATATCGTTGACATGTCTGAAAGCGCTTCACAGAATTTAATGTAAAGTGTGGTGACTGCGGATTTTGTGGGAGATAAATGCAGCCACTTGAGGAAAGGAGTATCCCATAAACAGTTGTGGATTGAGTAACCAAAAGTTTTGGACGAATTATTAATCCCAGGAAGCCAATCGTCCAACAACCTTGTTTCTAGTTACAGCAAGTGATTTACAGCAAGGTAAACAAACAAGTGTGGAGAAAGGCAACTTGAGTAATGTTAGACCCAGGAGGGAGTTTAACCCGGGTCTTAACAGGTTAAATATGTTTCCAAAAGTATATTAATAATACCACCAAAAGAGTAAAAAATAATTTACACAATATCCAGAGAGTGTGGAAAGATGTGGTTACTGCATTCAGCTTGATAACCACAATTCTCCCCAGCTACTACCCTATCACTTCATCATGCCAGAAACACACCAGAATTCGTTTTACTGATTCTCACGCGAAGAAAATAAGACCATTTAATAAGCCTATATCTTAAGTAATTGAATTGCTTGTCCGGGTAACTTTTTGTAAATTCTCAGCGGTTTGAGACGCCCACCCGACATGAATGTAATTTTGTTGTTGTTGTGGAACATTAATCATGTTAATAAAGCTTATATTTGACATAGCGTCTTATAACATCACCGAGATGCACCAAAGTGCTTCGCAGAATATATTGTAACGTGAATACAGGTTACACTGTAAAGTGTAGTCAAAATGCATTTTGTAGGAGGAATAGTAATCTCATAAATATAAGCGCAATCATAATCTCAGTGCAATAGTTTGAATTCAAGCCGGTGATCGAACATAACCTTCGTTTACGTCTCTTGTGACCTTTTATACTGCCCGGTGTAACATTTTACCTAAAATATCCCTAACACGTCTCTTCAATGCGCCCAAGCTGATGATCCTTTTTTCAAAGTCTTGTCCTTCCTGGCTTTACTTAACGGAAATTTACCTGCCCCACACTTATCCAATTTTTCACTATATTTATCTGGAATCCCCACAAAAAATACACGGCATCTTCAAACCATTTTTCGTTGAACGTTTTCTTTCTCGTGGTAGCACTGTATAAATTTTACTTTGTTACTATTACGTTAGACACTGTCTTACGGAGTTTTTATCTCATCATTGAAGCCCTTAATGCAACGATCACAATACAGCACAGGGTATCAATCAGGAAAACAGTGGAGAATGTAGGAAAGGTAAAGCGATATTAGTTTCTGATTTCAATCTCCACATAGATTGGGAAAACCAAATCGGCAACAGTAGGTCAGAAGAAGAGTTCATTGAGTGTATGAGCGATAACTTTCTAGAGCAGCATCCCGATAAACCAACAAGGGGACAGGCCAATCCAGACCTTGTTTCGTGTAACGAAACAGGGCTAGTTGGCGGTGAAGGTATTAAGAATCCTGCAGGGCACAGAGGTCATCATATGATTGAATTCTGCATTAAGTTGAAGATGGATATAGTTAAATCAGTGGCAATCATTCTGAATTTAATTAGGGCTAATTTTTGTTGCTCTAAGGAAATATGTAGGTAAAATAGAATGGAGAATAAGATTAAGAGTTAAAAATGTAGACCAACAGTGGCAAATATTTAACGATGAAGTGCAAAATTCTCAACGGTCGCATATTCCCTTGCGGCATAAGAGTACAACATGGAAAGCAATTCACCCGTGGCTAACTAGAGCAGTTAGGGAAAGCCTCAAATTAAAAGTAAAGTCTGATAAGTGCCAAGAAAAGCAGCAATTCTGAAGATTGTGAGAGTTTTTGAAACCATCAAATTAAAACTAAAAACTCATTAAGAGCGAGAAAAAGGAGTATGAGGGTGAGATAGCTCGGAACACTCAGTCTAATTCTAAAAGTTTTTACAATTACCATGGAGGAATAGGCGAGGGAGTGCAAATGTAGGTCCACTACAGTCAGAGACGCGAGAAGTTGTAATTGGGGATAAGCACACGGCAGAGTCCCTAAATGGGTACTTTGCATCTGTCACAACCGTAGAAAACAGAACAAGTCTGCCAACATTAGAGATGCACCAATGGGATCAGGACAGGAAGCAATTAAGGACATATTCAAAAGCAGAGAATTGATGCTACGGAAACTGTTAGCATTAAAAAGTGACAAATCCCCTGGTTCGGATGGCTTGCATCCCAGGGTTCCAAAAGGGGAAGCTTATGAGATATTGGATGCCTTATGTCTGATCTTCCAAAATTCCTTGGATTCTGGAACAGTCCCCATGGATTGGAAGATCGCAAATGTCACACGACCATTCAGGGAGGGTGGAAAGGAAAAGATGGGGAACTATAGGCCAGTTCGTCTCAGATTAGTGAAAGGAAAACATTTAGAATCATTGATTAAGGATGTGGTAGTTCTGTATTTAGGGGAGCACAATATAATTAGGCCAAGACAACATGGCTTTACAAAAGGGAAGTGATGTTTGACGAATCTCATGGAGATTTTGAGGATATTTCCAGTAAACTAAATTAAGGGTGAATCAGTGGATGTGGTCTATTTGGAATTCCAGAAGGCATTCGATAAGATGCTGCATAAAAGGTTAGTCCAAAATATATGGGCCCATGGAATTGGTGGTAGCATATTAACGTGGATTCGGGAATGGTTAACGAGTAGGAAACAAAGAGTAGGGATAAAAGGGTCCTTTTTATATTGGCGGGATGTGACTAGTGGAGTGCCACAAGGAACAGTCCTTGGGCCTCATCTATTTACCACAGAGCTCAACGATTTAGATGAGGACATCGATGTTAATATATCTAAATTCGTGGATGTCACAAAACTAGTAGTAAGTGTCAACACAGAGGACGACACAAAAAAAAATGCAGCGAGACACAGATAGGTTAGGTTATTGGGCAGGTAGGTGGCAGATGATTTATAATGTACGGAAATGTGAAGTCGTCCGCCAAGATAGCAAAATCATTAGAGCGGATTATTTTTTAGAAGGGTAGAGATTGGGATGTATTAGCGTCTAGAGGGTCTTGGATGTCCTTGTACACCAATCACAGAAAGTTAGTCTGCAGGTGCAGGAAGCAGTTAGGAAGGCGAACAGTATGTTAGCATTCATTATGAAAGGAATAGAGTGTAAGAGTAGCGAAGAATTCCTGCAACTCTATAGGGCCTTGGTGAGACCACACCTGGAATACTGTGTGCAGGTTTGGTCTCCTTATTTAAGGAAGGCTGTACTTGCCTTGGAGGGCGTGCATCGTAAATTTACTAGGACAGTACAAGGGATGAAGGGGATGAGTTGCGAGGGCAGGCTGATTCTATAATATAGAAGAATAGGAGGGGATCTTACAGAAACATTTCAGATCATCAAAGAGCATGATAGAATAGATAGTGGGAGATTGTTTCCCCTGTTTGGAGATACTGAAACCGGGGTCACAAACTTAAAACCAGAGGCCAGCCCTTTCGTACTAATTTGAGGAAGAACTTCTACTTCACTCAAAGGATGTGAACGTATGGAACTCACTACCCCAAAGGTCTGTTGACGCTCACCTTGAACATATTCAAGACTGAGACAGATAGATTTCTTACTGCAAAAGTTTTGAAGGGATCTGGGGATAAGGCAGGCTTAGCTTATCATCTGGAACTGGATTAGAAGATCAGTCATGATGAAATGGCTGGGCAGGCTCGAAGGGCCGTGTGGCCCTCTTCTGCTCCTACATGTTATTTTATGTCTTGTTATGTTATGTTTTGTTATGTTAATGTCCGTTTATTAAATGCAGGTATTTTTGTCCTTTGAGATCCTGGAGCAAATTGGTTTCTCAGCTCACAGTATCTGTCATGTCAAAATCTGATCACATTGACAAAGGATTTTTCCAAATTTAGCCCAACTTTAAGAGGACGTCTGGATTTGATCCAAGGTCCTCTTGTTGTGCACTTAATGATTCTTCACTGAGCTGCATTCTCGCCACCACCTGAACACTGCTCAGTGATACGAATGTTTCAGAATAACTGTCCTGTCAATTAATGTATATACAAAGGTGAAATATTTTTGATGAGGTTCTTCTTCCACCTGATGGCAATCTCTCAAAGATTGTTCTAACACTTCAATCAACACAGTCCCTCTGATGGTTGGTTGCTTCTCAGGGATAAAAACAGCCGAATGCCCCCTGCAATTGTGCATAAATGAATTGGAACTTTGCTGTTATAAGTGACAATAACAATATGTTTGTATTAATATAGGTCACGCGGACGGGTCAAACCGGTCCAAAAAGGCGAAGAGGCTCTAAAACCTATTTGACTCCACAGAGAAGCATGAGTAACTATTGGGAACGAATTCACCAATCGGCCCTCCAGGAGAGACAGAAACTTGTTGACAAGGAAACAAACCATACTTTTAATGTCCCCGATATCACAATTTCGGAGCACAGTGGCTGAAGGCATGTCCACCTGTGGTGTAGCAGATGTATGAGGGATGAATACAAGTCTGGAGCTAATCGAGCGGAGTCAGTGGGTGGTGGAGTTGAGGTTGAACAAATTGGATTCCTACGAGAGCATGAAGTGACAACCAGCTTTGCGTTTTGTCATCATACTGTGACAATAACAGCAGAAGAACCAGGATTTTTCATGTTCTGTTATTCAGCAAGGAACCGCTGGGATTTGCATCAAGCATTTCCAGTTTACGGGACAGGCGCTTTGCCACGAAAAACATTGTTTTGAACATCTAAATAGCGGTTTTCATTTGGAAGCACTTCTCAAAAATATTTACATCACAACACTGAAACATGGCATTCTGAGAAACAGTTGATTACGTGAGCTGCTGCTTTAGTTCATTTCATGTTTTCATGTGCTATAAATCGAACACATCATCAAAGTTTTTGATAGGTGGAAAATTATTCCGTTAAAAAAGAGCTCGAGCAGTCTTTATTCAAAATGAACACAACTTAAACTCGGTATAACAAATTTCACTCGAACTTATTCTCGAACTTAAAATTTCAACGTGTCAGCCCATGGCGTGGTATACATAATTGGAAGTTATAATTTTTGTTGATGTTGGAAACTGAACTTATAAGATGAACGAAACAATAAAGTAGCTCTAGTGTTGCAATAGTTTATTCCGCGGTATTTATTTGACAATTTATATGACTCTTTCGAGAAGTGACAAGGTTGTGAGATCGATTCTCAGCAAGAGCAGTATTTTTCATTGGTTTCTTCAAGTTGCATCACTGCACCCAATGGTAGTCGCAGAGTAATTATTGTTGTGGATTTATTACGGCCTTGGCCAGTGTGATGATCTATCAAACCCGACATTTGCCAATGTCATCAATTGAAACTGGCGAAATGCACGAATTGCCCGTCAGTCGATGGTGAAAGATTTTTTGCGTGAGATAAATTATCGACTGACCAAAGGAAGTGACATTATTTATTGATGATCAATATATTGTGACGGAATATTTACAGCCTCCAGAGAATTTTTTCTCGGTTGATCTCCATCTTCACTTCTCCTTCTGAGTTATCAGTTGAGAGAGAAAACGAACACATTAATATTTATTTTCCCCTGCTATGGATGATAAACCAGAAGCGAATAGCTAGGTATTTAAATGACAATATGCGTTGGTCCAATTGTGTCCAATTGCCACTCAAATTTCCCCCCAAACTGTATTA